AAAAAACGCATTTAGCAGGTTTACACTCTAAGCCGACGATATACTCCACGGGCATGATTCAATAATACAAGGTTGTGTAATTTGTGACAGCTAAAATTTGAGATTTGTATTTTGGAAGTAGGAGAAAGGGGAAGAATGTGTTCGCATTTTGCGAAAACGGTAGTAGAATGGTAATACAAAACGTACGCAAAGTATACAATTAGAAGAAAATGTGTATTATTAATTCTATGCGAATTTGCAATATATTTGGTGTTTTAATGGAAATACTAAACAATACATAAAACAAGTAGGAAAGTCTAAGGGCCAATTTCACAATGCGTAGTTAACTCAGAATCGGGAGTTAACTACAGAATTTTGTACTAAAAATCTCTAGTTAACTGTCGATTCTGAGTTAACAACGCACTGTGAAATTGGCCCTAAGTTCGGGCGCAGCCGAACATTAAATACCCGGCGCAAGTATTAAATATATGTTTTCTCACCTTTCCGAAGGCTACCGCTACATGGTAAGCTTTTATATGGCAAGCACAATAACCATACCGAGTTTGGTACAAATTGGTAGAACGGTTACCGAGATATATATAAATGGGTGGTGCCACGCCCATTTTCTAAAATTGTATGATAGACGTATTTCCTGGTAAATAATTGTTGCAACCATCAATTTTGAATAAATTAGCTTTGATATTTACTGATTTATCGAAGATTTTGTATTTCTCTAAATTACCGTTATATGGGATGTGGGCCTGGTTCATGTCCGATTTAAAAAATGTTTGGCCATTTGGTACATTTTACCAAAGCCAATAACTGTGCCAAGTTTGGAAGAAATTGGTTAAGCGGTTACCAAGATATACACATGTAACCATAAGTGGGCGTGGCTACGCCCATTTTCCAAAAATTTATAATATTCTTATTTTTCGTCTGAAAATTATTGTAAATATAAATTTTGAGTGAATTATCGTCAGTAGTTACTAAAACATCACAGTTTTCTTATTTCTGGAAATTACCGTTATATGGGAAGTGGGCGTGGTTGCAGTCCGACTTCGCCCATTTTCAATACCAACCTACCGTGGATAAAGGGAAACCAACATACCAAATTTCGTTGAGATATCTCAATTTTTGCTCGAGTTATCGTGTACACGGACGGACGGACAGACGGACAGACGGACGGACAGACAGACATGGCTTAATCGACTCTATTTATTTATATCTATGAAGAGGTTCTAGAAGGTTAAAGTTGAGTTTTTAGATATTTTAAATATTAATATCTTATGAACTTTATAACCGATTAAAAAGCGAATGACGTCATCATAAAGGTAATTAATTTGTTCTTCAGCTGATATACATAATTTATAGCTTTTTGTATTTTCAAACCGAAACCACTAAAAAACGAACAAATATTATTTTTTCATGAAATAACCTTTTTTGAAAAAATTGCATAATTAATGGTAAAGAAATTTATATTATTTAGAAAGTACAAGTTATTATCTTAAGTTCGATATTACACCCAGAAAAATATCCTCGATTTTTAAGTAACACGATCCATGTTAAATTCACATGAAACAGTTGTACACACGAAACAACAACAATTTTTCCATTTTAACATGATATTTTTAACAGGAAAAAAGTGTTAAGAGTAATATGAAGTATTTTTGGTTAATTTACCAAGATATAGTGTTAAATTTACATGTGAATAGTGTTAAAAATATATGGCAACGTGATTCCTGTTTGTTGCAACCTGAGTTATTGTAAAATTTACATGAGGGTTTTTTTAAATAATGTTGATTCAAACACATAAAGTGTTAAATTTACATTTAGTTGATGTTAAAAAGGTCTGGCAACATGATTTCTGTTTGTTTTGTCATGAGCTATTGTGAATTTTACAGGGTATGTGGTTAGAGAACATAAAAGTATCGTAATATTTTATTTGCGTGCGCGTTCTTCGTCATTCGGTTGCATTTTTATTTGGTGTATTATTTGTGAAAGATTATTAAAAAAAGCTATTTAAATATTAAGAAGAATGGGTACAGAAAATGTCTTTGGGGAATCGGCGGGCATATATTTCGTTGTTGATGGTGATTTAACCATGGGGAATGAAGTTGAGACTTCACTGCAGCAAAGCCAAGCCACTGAAGCTTCACGTGAAAAAGAAAATTTGAAAGACGTCGTATGTGGTAAAATGAACTTCAGTGAAGAAGTTTATCAAAGAATTCTCGGTAAGTTCTTTGAGAATCTGCGAGGAACCATATGCATATTTATGTTATTGACAGATTGCGGAATGGATGTAGAAAGTCTGTATTTCATCAACGATGGGGACATAAATGAACTTTTCCCTGCATCAATGCTCGGAACGAGAGTAAAGTTTAAAGAAAGAGTTGCACGTTGGCGACAGAATGAAGTAAGTAAATCATTTTCACATCAATGATAAGCTTTGCATACTTTTTTTATTTTAAGGCTGATACCATTTCGTCAATAGGATCATGCAAGAGTTGGATAAATTCTAGCCAAGAGTCTCACGACTCGATAAGAGACATGGAAGCAAAGAATTTAAAGTTAATACTTAATGCCACTGAAAGAGGTCAAAGCATCTTTAAACAATATAGAGAAAAGACCGTGCTGTCAGATGTTAGTCGTGACATTTTGGTAAATACCATTGTTGACCACTTCTCAGCGCGATCAGTGCCTATGACAATGAAAGATATCATCACCTTTTCTGAGCAAATAACAATTTTATTTCCCAACGAAGACATGGTATGTATGCATTTTCATATTCACTTGCTATCAAAATTTGTAAATACATATGTAAAGGAGGATCAAGTTTCAAGCGGATAAAAAATAGCACTGATTTTTAATAATTTTTTAGCTGACAGATTTTTGCCCTTTTTTCCTTATAAGCATGAATTTCTTACGAAATAAAAAGTGGAAGAAAGTTCGAAACTCTGATTTATATGGTTTTGGCTAAAGCTTGGATTCAATTTTTATAGAAAAATAACAGAATAAATTTAGCTTGAAAAACGTTGTGAATATTAAAAAAAAAAAAATTCAACACTTAAATGCATTTATTTTACTTTTATTTAGCGCTATTACTGCAACCGTCGAAATGGCAAAAATCCAACAGGCAAACTTTATGATAAGGCAACAAACATCCGAAGGAAAATAAAAAAAGAAACAGGAGCACTAAGCGTTGCACCTAAATGTCAACCCACTCAATCAAGTTTGTCGGAGCAGGCGAGCAATAGTAACTTTAATTTTACAAAAACGTACTTATCTATGTACGTGTATGTATGTATATACCACTATATTTGGCCCACAGTTTCGTGAGTATATTGATTGCTTCGTGGGTTTCGAAATTTTTTTGTTTTTGTCGCACGGTGCAATACCTACACGTACATACATACAAAAATAAGTACATACACATGTAAGGAAAAACCATGATTAATATTTCCTTCGATTAGCAGATGAAAATGACTTAGCCATGAAAAATTTGCTTTGTCATAATGTAGAGCCTTGGGGCGATGTTGTAGAAAAATGGACGAACACAGTCAAATTAAGAACCGCAGAGATTTTAAATGAACACGCAAATATTTTAACTAATTGGCCGCTGCTGAAACACAGTCTTGGATACACTTTGGTAAGTTTAGCTTTATATATGTACCTATTTTAAATTTTCTTATTTATGATATATAACTTTGGAATTTGTATATTTTCAATTATACTGCAGGTTGAAATTGATTTTGAAGCGAAATTTCCCAACTGTTCGCAGAATTTGCTAAACGAATGGCCAAAATTTAGAAAGTCAATTATACCTTACATGAAGACAAAAATAAGAGATGCAACATCCATTGATATGCTAAAAAAAATTGACGAAAACATCAGTACTGGTAAAGCAACAAGTCTAATATTTATTTTTTCAAGTATTTATTTTATTTTCTTATGCAGACTCAATGGATTGTTTATTGACACTGCTTTTGCATGCGATACTTAAACCGTCATTAATTTCCGTTGGACAAACTTCTGGTGAAAAACGGCTTAAATGGAAGCCATCAATATGTGATGCGCAGGCAGTGACATTGCTGCATTGCAGCAGCATAAACGATTATCAGAGGATGTACCACGAATTAAAGATTAAGTTAAATCAAAAGAATCTTCCTCTTCAGCCGCTACTATTGGTAGTCGGAGAGAAACTAACTCAGTTAGACTCTTTTTACGTTATTTTCGACAGTATAATTTACAAGGTACCGACATTTTTAAAATCACTTGATACTTTATTTAAAATCTTTCATGTATTAAATTTGGAATATCCGATACAAGCGAAATCCATATATAATTTTATCGAATCCTACTTTTTTGGCATTGCGGATTGTGCACACCCTAATGTTATTACACTTAAGAATTATTTAAAAGATACTCAAAACTTGTTGGAGTAGATTGATAAAATGTTCAAATGCTTTATATGTAACGAAAGGTCTTCTACATCAAAATTGTTAGTTGACCATTTGAAATCTTTCCATGTTTTTGCTGAGATAAAAAATTTTGTTTGCACTTTCTCTAAATGTGGTCAATGTTTTTCAAACGTGTATAGTTTTCAAAATCACCTACGTAGAGTTCATGCGTCGTTGCCAAGTACACCTGCTGTATCTTATCATGCACCTGTTTTTGTTAGGCCTAATATTACTAAAGGGCAGACTAATAAATTAAGTTCTAATTTTAATAATACAACGCAAAAAAAATTTAATATGAATATGTTTGTATTGTCTCTACATAACAAAAACAATTTCACAAGAAAAGATGTGTTTTCTATTGTACAGGAAATTAGCGATACAATTTTAAAGCCAATACAAGAACATGTATTAATGTCACTGTCGCCTTTAATATCAAACTCAAATATCAGAACAACCGCTGAAACAAATTTCCTTAGTTTATTTCCTGCTCTCGATAATAATATTAATGAGTACCGTTTTTTTAAGGCTTTGGAAAGTGAACAAATTTTTCAACTTCCAACTTCATACATTATCAATGAAGAAATAGCAGAAATAGTAGTTAATAGTAACCCGGGTTTAAATTCAAACAAAGTGGTAGGTGTATTAATGCCAATCAAATTTCAAATGAAGAAATATTTCGAAACAGACAATAACTTGAGCAAAACGTTAGGTAATATGAAAATGCTACAGTCAAATCAAAATACATATAAAAATCTCATTCACGGGGAAACTTGGAAGAAAAAAATTTCTAGTTTTGGAGATAAACTCGTCATTCCGTACATAATATATTATGATGAATTTGGAATTGATAACCCTTTGGGTTCCCATGCTGCTGATCAAGCAATTTGTGGTATATATTACAATTTTCCAACAATTCCAAGTCACCATTTGTCGACGTTAGAAAACCATTTTGT